ATGCATAGTAACTTTGCCTAGTACTACTAAAAGTATAGACATAATAACTCAACACTTACCTACTTACATAGGCGCAATAAGACGCTAGAGCACTTTGTCCTCTGCTGCAAGACCTAAGGGTCCTTTAGCTAATAGCTACATCAGGAAAAGTTTTTCGAAATCCGGCCCAGACTGGCTGTTGCTGACAGTCGTGGCATGGTCGTGCAACGGCTGTTTAACAGCCCTAACAGCCCTAATTTGCGCCTAACAGCCCTAATTTCGTGCTAACATTGCTAACAGCTAAAACACTAAGTGCCTAATTAATAAACTTAAAACAATGTTACAACATTATTATATAGCTACCCTTAGTTCTACTAGCACTAGTATTAAATATTTAAAAATTGCGAAATTTCATGTATATATAGAGCGAAATTGTAGCTTTAAAATAAGCAAAACATTATTATTGTAGGCCTACTACAACGCAAGTTATAGAGCGTTGAAGGTTTGTTTGTTGAAGGGTTGTGTTTTGAAGTTGCGACAGCACACCATGGCAGCTGCAGCTGCGCCAGCACACAATGTATCAGCTGCAGCTGCAACAGCACACGACGTAGCAGCTGCAACAGCACCCAACAAAGCACCTGCTAACAAGCACACACTGCAGAACAGGCAGGCCTAGGCATAGAATTCTTAGTTTACCTACTATTCTTAAATAATATTCTTATATTTTCTAATATTTAGGCTGCTAGAGCCCTAGCAAAGAATCTTAACTTAGTGTCTAAGCAAGGAATATTAAGCTTAAAACCTTCCACACTTAATAACTATTCTATTAATAGGCCTATAATATTATTTAATAGCTTATTTTAAAGAGGAGACTTAGTAGTATATTAATATAATAAAAGTATAGTTTATTAAGCAGAGCTACTATTATAGCAGGATTAGGAGTTATTGTGGCTATTGCAGCTGTTAGGACTGTTAGAGCTATTAGCTTAAAATTAGCTAGACATTGAATACACATTGAATAACTGTTGTAGGCCTACAAGTCCTACTGTTGCCCACAGTACAATGCCACGATTTCCCAATTTCGACAACGGAAAAACTTTTCCCGATGTACTCTAACTACCCGTACTACTATCTAGCTGTAGCAAAGGCGTAGCATATACTAGTGTGCTTATTAGGGATCTAGAGGCCTTTAAAGCCTTCACCCAACTTACTTAATACTACACTAAGGTCTGCCCCTAGTAGCTCACCCTGTGCTGCGACAGCGGCAAACAAATATACTCTTTCCTTACTCTCCTTCTTACTCTCCCTCTCTCTTCTACTCTTATAGCATTCTACTGCCTTTAAACACACAAAAGGGATTCACCCTAATGTATCTACACTGCCTAGTCTCCCTAACTAGCGGGGGAGCTGTAGCTTAAAACAGTAGCAATATCCGCGCAGGCAAGAAATGCTTTCTAAGGTAGTTTGTTAGCACTGTAATCCTATAGCTTAGCACATCGTATATGCCCTTTGGGAGGCAAGATAGTGGACTTAATCCCTATTTTTTAGACGTAAAATAAATAACGTACTCCACAAGCGAGTGGCTCACACAAGCGAGTGGCTCACTTTTGCCAAGACCACACCAAACTTCACTCTACCTACAATGCCTCAACGTAACAATACAATCAAACCCTTAAAGGAGGCAGGAATACAGCATGCTCTTCAGGCTATCTATTAAGACGCGACACTTTCTTAGCAACGCGCTGCAGCTATCTACAACATGTCTTAAAGGACACTTAGTTACTAACTTGCTAGAACCTCTCTACAACACAATTGCAAGCCTAATATAATTAAGATAACTAGCACTAAAGAGGAGGTAATTTTCTATTATGTGTTAAGGCTAGACAAGTAAGGATTCTCACCCTAACTTACTAATGTAGAGGACATAGCTAATTCTCTGCTTGCTAAGCCCTACTAGACCCCTTTTAGCAAGAACTAGGCTGCTAACTTTATTAAACGCTAGCTAGAGCTTAAAGTTAAGTTTAATTGCAAGTAAAACTATAAGAGAGTGCAGTGTAAGGATCCTAAGGTAATTAGTAACTAGTTCTAGCTTGTAGAGAATTGTCAGACATGAGCAAGGCTGGCCGTAACACTGGCTCGGCTGGAATGGAACTGCATGGAATGGACCGCGCAGCTGGTCGCACAAGAGTGGGGGATAAAAGCCACCTGTTCATAGATCGATCGTTCGGATCCATTTTTTCAATCACAACAATTAGCAAGAACCCTTTAAATCTGACAAGAATACTAAAGCTAAGTATAGTATCCTAGATAAAGACACTAATAACTTTAATAAATCTAGCTTTATAATAGGTGTTATATCTACTAGTGCTGTTGTTACAGGCTCTAAGCGTTAAAGGAGACTAAAGACAGTGCAGTAGGGCAACTAAGAGTAGACTAGCATTATCTAAGGCATCTATTTAAAGGGCTAGTCTATCCTACCCTTTATTATCCTCTCTAGTAAGCACCACCTCTCAGCCTAGTACAAGGAGCCTAGTATACCTAACAACTAGGATATTATTGTCTCTAATAATAGCTAGACTAATAATAAGCTTAGAGTTAAGTAGTTAAAGTACTTTAATAAGCACACAAAGGCGCGCACTGTTAGCAGCTACTAATAGCTTGTTCTAGATAGCTACAAGAGCCACAACTTAGTTGAATTCTACTAGTACTGTAAGGAGCACAAGATTATTACTCTGTGTATGCCCCCACACTTATCCTATCTACTACAGCTGCTTGACGTGGGTTGTTTCTCCCTGTTAAAGAAGGCCTATAGCCGCCAAGCTGAGCAGCTGATGATGGGCAAGATCACTCACATCACTAAACTTAAGTTCTTGCTGTGCTTTAAAGCTGCTTTTTATGCTTTAATTACTAAGAGCAACATCTAGGGAGGATTTAGAGGCGCTGGCCTAGTCCTGTTTAACCTAGAGGCTGTAATATTAGAGCTTAAAGTACAGCTACACATGCTAACGCTACCTATTATAGATAACAGCACGTAGGAGTCTAAGACAGTAAGTAACACCCTAGAATTTAGGTCTTAATTAAAGCTAATTTAAGAGAAGATCTAGAGACACACTAATAGCTTACTAACATTAATAGTTAACACCCTTAATTAGCTTACTAAAGGCGCAGAGCTAATAGCGCATTTACTAGTTTTAGTGCGCAACTAGGTTGCTGACCTTTAGGTAGCTAATAAGGCTGCTACACGCTTTAAATTACACAAAAGAAATCAAGTATAGCAAGATAGGGTATTAACCTTTGCTAAGGGAGTGCAGCTAACTACTCTAAAGGAGTTTAAGACCTATAGTGATAGGAAGAAGGCAAAGAAGAGAGGAGGCGCTAATAGCAGCACTTAGTTATTAAGACACTATAGCATGTGTGGCAAGGCAGGGCATAATAGGACAATGTGTAAGAAAGATGTGTAAAGTACTATAGATTAGTGCAATATACTGTGTAGTACATGATATTGTTGTTGTGTGCTGTAATGTTGTAAAGTAGTTGTAGTGTTGGTGTAGTCTTGGCAAAAGTGAGCCACTCGCTTGTGTGAGCCACTCGCTTGTGGAGTACGTTATACCTAAGAACAAGAGCAAAGCTCTTCAGTTTCAGCCTCGCAAGGACTATCACGGTGGGGCTGAGTTCTACTCTCCTAGTAGAGTAGAGAAAGCACGCTCTGATGAGAGGACAAAGCAACAGAACCAGAAGGTAGAAGAACTCAAAAAAGCAGAGATAACGAAGCTTAGACACGCCAACAAGCTATACAATGAGAAGATTGCCCAGGAGAGGCGTGAGCAGCGGGAGAGGGAGAAGGAGGAGCGTGAGCGAGTGAGAGCTGAGAAGGCCTAGGAAGCAGCCGAACGCAAGGCTCAAAGAGAGCGTGATGAACAAGCTCGCGACGCTCAAAAAGCTGTACAATTGCCCTAAAGAGGCAAGCGCAAGGTGTCACAGTCTGTAGCACCAAGAAAGAAGCAGAATCGTGGTGCAGTAGCTGCGCAGCGTGGTGTTGTTGCTGCAGAGCATCCTGCGGCACCTCGCACCCACACCACCCGCAGCGGCAGAACAGCAACTCTATATAATTAATGTGTATGAGAGAATATCGTCGAATAGTTCTATAAAACAATCCACCGAATTATCTTGCGATAATAGCTATTGTATGTGGCTCTACAGCCTCAAGTTTGTATAGTGCTGCAGGGTAATTATCGGGCGTTGCGCGACTCCGGGCGTTGCGCGCACGGACACGGTAGGCCTCCGTAGCCAGGCGTGTGCGCGACTGCCCTCTTTGTCCTCCACCTCTCCACCCGGACCACAACCGAGCAGCATCCACCGTACAAGCCGAAGATGACCGTCACAATGCGACGCGGTGCAACAGGGTTACCGACGATAGTCTTCCGCGACAACGCGACAGTCGTCTTTGCCAATGCGGCGGGGAGCATTGAGCGGTGCCCTGCCTCCGTCTTGTCGTCTTGTCGTCTTGTCAAAACCTTCAACATGCTTGATGAGGAAGGTGTTCAACTCTCACAAGACAAAATATTGTCACATCACCATCAAGGATGGATTGACATTAATCATAGCCTTGCACCGACCGCGTGGAAACAAGATCGAACTCAGCTGTTGGTGATTGGCCATGTTATCTGTTCCCAGCTTGGCCTACCACGGCATACTTGGCAATGCAGCCTTTAGCGGAGTGGAGTGTCTGATATCACTCGGCGCCAATGCCGTGTCTGTATGCTTCTCCTACCAGGCTCGCAGTGTATGACAGGGCGTACTGTAGTCGCAACTGGAAGCCTTTATCTCTTGGGCTGGCGCACCTCTCATTCCTATTCATTGGCGCCGAGCATCCGCGAACAATCTCCTGATCATACTCGTAACACTGCAATGCTAGAACAGGCAGCTCGAAATCGTATGGAGAGAGAGGTCCATGAATATAAAGCCCAGCCTGCCGATGATCGACCGTTGTGTTCGTCAGCCGACCCACATCGGAATTCACCATGTCCTCCGGTGCAGCGCTTCAGATCGTAGACGCAGCGACCGCGGACTACCCAGCCGTAGCCAAGGGCATGAAAGATGAATCCATCATCGAGAAGCAAGAGCCTCATACTTCAGCATCTGAGGAGCTCATCGGCCCCAATGGCGAGCAATACCCTACTGAGGAAGACTGGACCACCTTGCGCCGCGTCTACGGCAAGGTTAACTGGATGATCTATATTATCGGCATAGTCGAGATGTGCGAGCGTTTCGCATACTATGGAACTACAGCCGTTTGTGAGTACAGTGCAAGTAATTTGGGAGCAAGTCTGTACTGACCGCTTCGAGTCGTCAACTTCATCCAGCAAGAGCTTCCCACTGTGGGGCCCTTCCCATCCGCGGGTGCTGCGGGTACGGATGGTCAGGCTGGTGCTCTGGGTATGGGCCAGCAGGCCTCGACTGGTCTCGTTCAGTTCAACCAGTTCTTCTCTTATGTCATGCCCATGGTTGGTAAGCGAAACAGGTACTCGCCCCTTCGACATCACTGACAAGACCAGGTGGTTGGCTCGCTGATGAGTACTGGGGCAAGTTCAAGACCATCTATGTGGCCATTGTGCTTGCTACATTCGGCCATATCTTGATCATTATTGCTGCCATCCCCAAAGTCATCGCAACTCCGAATGCAGCGCTGGGCGTGTTCATCATCGGTCTGATCCTGTTCGGAAGCGGAGTCGGCTTCTTCAAGTGCTGCATTTCTCCACTCGTGGCCGAGCAGTACGAACACAGCCACCCAAAGGCTTTTCTCCGCACCGAGCCGAACGGTGAGCGCGTGATTGTGGACCCTGGTATCACGATCTCGCGTGTCTACATGCGGTACTACCTCCTCATCAACGTTGGTGCTCTGACTGGGCAGATCTCGATGGTGTACGCTGAGAAGTACGTTGGCTTCTGGCTCTCCTACCTCCTGCCCACCATCCTGTTCATCTTCTGTCCTCTTTTGATGTTGGGCTTGAGCAAACACTATGTCAAGAAGCCCCCGCAGGGAGACGTGTTAGTCAAGGCGGTGAAGCTGTACGGCTTCGCTATGCGCGGCAAATGGTCCATCAATCCGGTGCGCACATGGAAGAACCTGTCGTCCCCCAACTTGTGGGATGGAGCCAAACCCAGCAATCTCGCTACGAAGCCTACCTGGATGACATTCGATGACGCCTGGGTGAATGAGGTGCGCCGCGGCATCAAAGCCTGTCAAGTCTTTCTCTGGCTACCGATCTTCTGGCTTCCCTACGGTCAGGTAAGCGGCATTCTGCTTGCGCCAGACGAGTCGCAACTGACCGAATTCTGCAGATGACGACCAACCTGGTCTCACAGGCCGCTACGATGGAGCTGAACGGTGTCCCCAACGACGTCATCCACAACCTGAACCCATTCACGCTGATCATGTAAGTCGACGCTGCATCCGCAAAGCCCAAACAACCCGGCTGACGTGCCTACCTAGCTTCATCCCCATCTTCGACAAGTTCTTCTACCCGCAGCTCGCGCGCATGGGATTCAACTTCACGCCTCTGAAGAAGATCCAGGCGGGTTTCGTGTGCGCGATGCTCAGCATGGTAGTCGCAGCGCTGATCCAGCACTTCATCTACGAGAAGTCGTCTTGCGGCAAGTTGGCAAGCAGCTGCGACACCCCACCCCCCTTGACGGTGTGGGTGCAGGCGCCCGCATACCTGCTGATCGCGTTCTCGGAGATCTTCGCCTCGATCACGGGGCTGGAGTACGCGTACACCAAGGCGCCGAAGAACATGCGATCCTTGGTGACGGGCGTGTTCTGGTTCACGCACGCGTTCTCGTCTGCGATTGCGCAGGCGTTCGTGCCTCTTGCCGCGGACCCGCTCTTGGTGTGGTTGTATGTCACTATTGCGATTCTGACTTTCTTTGGGTGGGTGGCGTTCTGGTGGACGTTTAGGGCTCTGGACAGGGAGAACGATACGCTCGATAAGCTTCCCGAGGGCGACTTCCTTTCAAACTCGGAGGCGCTGGCGGCGAAGAACGCGAGCGCGGACAAGGCTTGAAAGGGCTGTGCTTGTGGTATGGTTTAGCTATGCTTGTGGTATAACGTACATGTATAACGAGTCGGACAGCGGACGAGTCGGACACTCTTGCTAAGCCCCCACCAAACTACCCTTTACACAATTATGCCTCCTTAACAGCACTAGTTAGACGCGACAAAGGAAGCTCAGATGCAGCTGGCGCTCTAGGCTCTTAAACAAGACGCGACTCTATCCCTGCAACGCGCTGCTGCTATCTACATAGTTCCTCAAGGCACACTAAGCAATCAACGCACTAGACAACCTTCACAAGCTAATTCTATGGCCACTTTACAGAAGCTAGACTATAACAAGGAGAAGGTGATTGTTTACTATGTTCTTGAGCTAGTTGCGCGAAAATTTCCCCCTTAGCTAATAGATGTGGCCACTATGGCTAATTCTTTGCGCGCTGAGCGCAAACTAGGCCCTATTAGCACAAGATAGCCTAGTACGTTTGTTAGGTGGCACTTAGAGCTTACAGTTAAGTTTAATTGCAAGTTGTGACGACGCGGGCAAGAAGAGAGATATCTTGAATAGGTGTGAATCCGCTAACGTACCTCACGGGCGAGTGGCCGGCCCGGGCGAGTGACCGGGTTTTGCCAAGACCACACTAAACTTCATACAACCCGCGATGTCTTAACACAAAAAGGCTTAAAGTGTCTTAAAGGAACTAGATATATAGCTTGCTATTTAGGCTCTTAAATAAGACGCAGCTTTTACTATTCTACGTGCTGTAACAATCTATAAGGTGTTAGAAAGAACGCTAAGATAACAACGTGCTAGAACGCTCTTAAGACGTGATTGTAAGGTCAACTTAATAAAGCTAACAAGCACTAAAGAGGAGGTAATTGTGCAGCATGTTCTAAAGCTAGATAAGCAAGGATACCCACCCTGGCTTACTAATGTAGAGGATATAGCTAACTCTCTACTTACTAAGCGCCACTAGCCTCCTGTTAGCAAGAACTAGGCTAGCATGTTCGTTAAGCGTTGCCTAGAGCTTATAGTTAAGTTTAATTAAAAGTACAACTACAAGAGAGCCCTCTGTAAGGATTCTAAGGTAATCTAGGGCTAGTTCTGCCTAGTAGAGAATACTAAAGCTAAGTATAGTATCCTAGATAAAGACACCTACAATTTTAACAAGTCTAGGTTTATAATAGGTGTTATATTAACAGGAGCTGTTGTTACAGGCTTAGAGTGTTATAGACGACTAAATATAGTACAGCAGGGCAACTAAGAGTAGACTAGTATTATCTAGGGTATTAACATGTTAGGATAGAGTCTCCTACCTTTTGTTATCTTTTAAGGCAAGCACTACCTCTCTACCTAGTATAAGGAGCTGTCTTTACCTTATAACTAGGTTATTACTATCTCTAAGAACAGCTAGACTAATAATAAGCTTAGTATTAAGTAGCTAAAGCACTTTAATAAGCACACAAAGGAGCGTAATCTTAGCAGCTATTAGCTACTTATTCTAGACAGCTATAAGAGCTATAATTTAGTTAAGTTCTACTAGTACTGTAAAGAATATAAGATTGTTACCTTGTGTATACCTCTACACTTATTACACCTATTGCAGCCACTTAACGTAGGTTAATTTACCCTAATAAAGAAGGCCTATAGTTGCTAAGCTAAGCTGCTAAAGCGCAATAAGATTACTTGTATTATAAAACTTAAGTTTTACTGTGCTTTAAAGGAGCTTTTAATGCCTCTTTTACTAGGAGTAATATCTAGGGAGGATTTAGAGGTGCTGGCTTAGTCCCCTTTAATCTAGAGGCTGTAATATTAAAGTGTGCCTATATACTCTACTACTATCTACTATAGATAAGAGTGCGTGGCACTCTTAAACCCTATAGAACACCCTAGAATTTAGGTTGCAATTAAAGCTTATTTAAGAGAGGATTTAACAACATAGCAATAGCTCTCTAACTTTAATAGTTAATAATCTTAATTAGCATACTAAGGGCGCAGAGATAATAGCGTAATTACTAGTTTTAGTGCGCAACTAGGTTGCAGAGCTTTAAGCTGCTAATAAGGCCACCACACGCTGTAAATTACACAAGAGGAAGCAGATCTAGAGGGAGGGGACTCTAACTGTTAGTAAAGGAGTACGCTTAACTACCCTAAAGGAGTTTAAAGCTTATAGTAATAGGAAGAAGGCAAGCAAGAAGAGGCGCATTAAACTAGGCACTTAGTCTTTACAAAGCTGTAGTAGGTGTAGTAAGGCAGGGCACAACGCGTGAACGTGCATAAAAGATGCACAAGATACTGTAGATTAGTGCTGTATACTGTAAGTTATAGTAACTTATAGTAACTTGCTGTAATATGCAAGAGAAGTTGAGCTTTAGTGTGGTCTTGGCAAAATCCGGTCACTCGCCCGGGCCGGCCACTCGCCCGTGAGGTACGTTACGAGGCATGTAGAAGTCCTAGAATAATAAGAACACTAGAATATATTCTCTACACCTATAACGTAGATTTTTACTGAGCCAGCCATATCACCAAACTAGCCACTTTCTCTTAGCATAACTACATTTTACCCTAACATAATATGCCTTAGTAACAATATCTTTAGAGTACTACTAGAGAAGGCAGAGTTATTCTTACTTTCTAGGCCTTCTATGCTAGCTAATTTCACAGTATCTGCAGCGCTACTAGAGCGTTAAACCTACCTTATTAGCAGGTCTCTAATTATCTTTGCAATATCACGTTTTAACAAGACATATGTGCTAATTGCTAGAAACTTACTATACTAGAGGAGCAGACAATTGTTTAGCATATACTTAACCTTAATTCGCAAGGATTTGCGCCCTAGCTATATAAGGTGGCAAATATAGCTAATAAGATACTTAGTGTGCATAGTAAAGAGCCTATTAGCAAAATATAGGCTTGTAGGCTTGTAATGCGTTTAGACAAGCTTAAAATAGCTTTTAATTAAGCTAAGGATAGACAGAGGATACTATAGGAAGATCCTAAGATAATTAGCATGTAGTTTAAGCTAGTAGAGAATACTAAAGTTAAGTATAATATTTATAATAATAACATACATAACCTTAATAAAATTAGGTTCTAGATAAGTGTTGCTTTTTCTTTAAAGGTTGTCACAGGCTTAGAAAGACGTGCTTAGCTAGAGCTTGTTTAGCCAGGCAATTGTGAGTAGGTTACTGTTATCTAGAGCATTAGCGCTGCTAGGTATACAACCCTGCCAATTATTATCTACAAAGGACGTGTCTACATCTCTGCCTTATACAAGGAGACAGATATACCCTACAATTAGAAGCTCTTAGTCTCTAAGAATAGTTAGATAAATAACATACTTAGCCTTAAGTAGTTAAAGCACTTTAACACACTTACAAAGACGCGTTAGGTAGGGGTGTATAGATTGCTAATCTTAGACAGCTATAAGAGCTATCTTAACTAGGAGTTTAAGGACTATTGCCTAGAGAACAAAATCCTTACTATCTACATGCTACCTTACTTATTGTAACAGTCTAGACTTTAAAGCTAAAGAAGAGCTAGAGCTAGCCGGTTACATTAGCTTAGCCGGCTTGGCTTAAGCTAGATATATATTATCTACGCAGTTAACTAGACGTCTAGTTAACTTGTGCATGCTTTTTAGCAAAAGTTGTTAGGAAGTAGATAACCTTTATTGGCCTTTGGCCAGACTACTACACTTATTACACATCCTCTAGCTACTTAATGTAATCTATTTCTTGCTATTAAAATGTAAGTACTCCTAACACGTTTAAGACTTAGCATGCTAATATATCTTCTATATTAATAATAAAGGCTTCCTACTAGACTTTAGGGATGTATTTCTTAATATGTTTATAAAGGTTAACTACTAAAAGGCCTTTAAGGTATTAGGGCTTGTTCCTACTAATATATAGGTAGTGTTAGATTACCTTAAAGTATAGCTATTTACTCTACTAGGAGTACCTCTACCTAAAACACTATAGTAATCTAAGTAAGTAAGTAAGATTTCAATTTAGAGTGCTGCCTGGTTCCCTTTCGGGTCTATGAACACTATGTACTCGCTTTCGTGATCAGGGCCAACATGCTCTATTAGAGCTAAAAACCCCCGCCTCGTCTGTGTCTGTTGCCTTCCGTCCTAGTCCCGTCTAGTACCTGTCTGTGCTGCCCTATGGTAGGGGAGCAGAAGGGCTTGTGTGGGTGTTAGCCTATGGCTGTAAATGGGGACCACCCCCCAGTGTCAGTCTGTTCCACCTCCAGCGCCACTCGAAACTGCTCCAGCAGTCCTGTGTCCAACAGCCACCTGCCTGCTGCTGCAACCTTCTCCTGGTTCATCAGAATTCGTGGGAGATCCGTTGTGCCCGCCCTTTCCATCAGCTTGAGCCTCGCCTCCCTCTGGTCTGGGCAGAACGAGAGGACGTGGCTGAGAGTCTGCCTAGGGTGTCCGCACGTGCAGTCAGGGTTGGTGCCCGGTACCCCAATTCGTGCTAGCCACGCCTTGAGCCCGAGGACCTCTGTGCGTAGCAACACAATTGCTGTAGCTACGTGTTTGGGAACGCCGTCATATAGATGCAGTGGCTGGAAATCCCAGCTCTCCTTCCACGTAGGCGCCGACCTGTGAGGTTTTGCTGCCTGAAGCTCCCATCTCCTCCTCCATCTGTCCGTGAGGTCCATGGCAATCTCCTTAATCGTGCTCCTTGACTGTATCTGCCTTCCGTTGGGCTTGTTCCTTGGACCCGTGGCGGCAGCCTCAGCCTGCCTACGCGCTATTTGTTTGTTGATGAGTTTTCTCCCTATTTGGCGGGCGCCCTCCATGTCAGTTTGTGGCTGAGTGAGGATCCTCGCCGGCCTGCCCCGTCTTGCTGCTCGTCCACCTGTAGTGGCTGAGGCCCATACTTCGTTAAGTGTCTCTTTGATCCTCTTTGTGACTAGGTGATTTGTTGTTATGACTGCCCTTTGGAGGGTCACCGCCCGTATGTACAGGGATAGTGGCGGCGTTCCGCTCTCTTTCTCAATTGCAGCCACTGGTGTTCTCTTATAGGCCCCTAGCGTCCGCCTCAGACACTTGTTCTGGACCACCGCTAGCTTGCGAATCTTTGCCTCGTCTATGCCTTTGCCTCCCTGCCCTGTTGACCATATCTGGGATCCGTATACCATGATCGGACGTGCCACTGCTGTGTATACCAATCGTGACTTGCGGACTGACGGGCCCCATGACGATGCTATGATCCTAGACATGGCGTGGAACGCCATCTCTCCTTTTGTTGCTACCTTCTGGATGTGCGTTTTCCACGAGAGCTTTGGGTCCATCCATACTCCAAGTACCCTCATTGTTGTGACAATCTCAGCTGGCTGGTCTCCCACTGTCACTGTGGAGAGGAGGTCGTCTCCCTTGTTCCGCTGCC